TAAATGTCAACCCGTTTTTTAAAAAAATGGTTGGCTAACGATGCAGCCAGATGTTGTGACGTAGTCACAAAGAGGGGACGCAGATGTTTCACCCTAATCTCTGAACTTTTAAGTGGCTAGTTGTGACGAAGTCTTTCTGTGCGGAGCTATTTCTCAATGGCTGGTGTTCCCACAAAGCCACACTTTAATAGCATAGCAATCATCTTTAACTTCAGCAACAATTTTTTTTTATCAGTGAAGATTAAAACAAAAAGAAAGCTCATTATTCATGGCAGGTAAGCTCGCAGTTTCTGTGCTACTCCAGTGTAAGTAACGGGTCTAAGAAACCCTCCAAACACCACCTCTCTCTCTCTGGGACATTGCTGCTGGATGGGCTGCTCAAATCTATGAAAAACATAATAATTCAAGGTGATCAGGAACATGTCTGTGGACACATAAGAACCACACTTTTTACCAGCTTATTATACCATTATGCTGTATCCTGTGTGACTGTAATCATAACTGACCTCCTTCTAGCCTCCCAAAAGAACTAGGTCAGACGCTGGTCCCTCTAAACCAGAGCAGCCTAATAATGACGTCAACACACTTATAAAAATAGTGTTAAACTAATCTGTTGCATTACCCTCATTCATAAAAAAGACCATGGGGAACCCTACACATTTTCTGGTGACTTTCCTGCAAGGGGAATTGACAGTTTCACTCTTTATTTGTCTCACAGTTATAACCAGATGCAAACTTTCCCTGCACCTAAGTCAGGGACTCCATTCATGTGAATAAAGCATAATAAAAATAAATAAATCAAACTGGTCAGCCGTCACTCATCGTGGAAATTATAATTGCAAACAGAATCACTGGCAGCAGTTTTATTGGAATCAAACAATCAAGAGCACATTTGGTTTGCTCCTGTAAATGCAGACAGAGTAGGGCACTCTAAACTGTCACTGTCAATAAAGACATAAAACATCCCTACAAGCAAACCTCCTGCAAACCCATAAAACACATTAAGACTGAATTCCCTTCCAGCCATCTGGCATAAGGTTTTCCAAGAAGCCCAAGAACCATGCATCAATCAGGCTTAACAATATGACCACCTGCCAAATATTTTGCTGCCAAAACAGCATTGAGCCATCAAAGCACGGACCCTTACAGGCGTGGTATCTGGCACCAAGAAGTTAGCAGCAGATCCTTTAAATCCGGTACGTTGCAAGGCGAGGCCATGGATCGGACTTGTTTGTCCAGCACATCTCACAGACGCTCGATTGGATTGAGATACAGGAAATGTACTTGTTGACACCGTTCTATCAGAACCAGCATTTAATTTTTCTGCAATTTTAACTAAAGTAGCTCGTCTGTTGGATTGGGCCACAAAGGCCAGCCTTCGCTCCCCAGATGAAACACTGGGCTTTGGCCTCCAACGATCCTGTTGCTGGTTCATCGCTGTTCCTTCCTTGGACCATTTTTGACAGATACTGACCACTCCAGATTTGGAACACCCCACAAGAGCTGCAGTTTTTGGAGATGCTCTGATCCAGTCGTCTAACCATGACAGTTTAGCCTTTATCATCCTTACATCTGCCAATGTTTCCTGTTTCTAACAGATCAACTCACTGCTCCCTAAAATGTCCCACCCAATAACAGGTGCCACGCTGAAGAGATAATCAGTGTTTTTCAGTTCACTTGTCAATGGTCATGATGTTATGCCTGATCGCCACACACACACACACGCACGCACGCACGCACGCACGCACGCACGCACGCACACACACAAATTCAGATGTTCAGATGTTGGGTTTGGCAAAATAAAGACTAATCCATCTGCTTAGTCCGCAACAATAATATGATAAATATTTCCTGGTTTGTAAAGGACGGTCTACCTGGAACAGCAGCAGCTCCTCTGGGCGTCTGGTTACACTTTTTGGCATCAGACCATTTTCGGTCAGGGACACAACGTCAGCGAGTGCCTGGTGTTTTCTGGGAAGTCTTATTTTCACAATTGCTTCTTGTTCATTTTCCCACATTCCAGTTTATCTCGGAATGCAGATTCCCAGTTTATAGTTTTGTTGAGTTGATTAAATTGAAAAGGAAGGCCTCACAGAGCTAAAGTGGCATTACTAGAATGCAGAATATTTTCAAAAAGGTGAAAAACTAAAGCACAGAGGTACAATTCATTCCTCCCTACTCCTGCATTTTTCCAGCGCTGTCTTAAAGGCCATTTGTAATATCTGGAAAGACAGAATAAACTTATTTTGTTCCGCATGCTGTGATTTCTGGTATCATATTTAAATATTTGTAGTTAAACTAAATGAAAACTCCTGTTGTTTCTCCCCTCCAATGCTGGCATCTGTCCTTGTGAAATGTTCCTGTGTTGGACCTCTAAACAGATGCCAGCGTGGAGATTTGCTGAGAATGAGGTGTTTGTGAGGCCGCTGTGTAACCAAATCCAACTGGCCAAATGACTTCCACGGCCCAGCTGGCTGCAGGCTCCTATGACATTACCTCTGCTAATGAGAATGAGCTGTGAGGGCAGAGTGTCATGAGCGTGTGTGTCTGAAAGTGTGAGAAAGTGTTTGAGGAACTTTTCAGTACAATGAAGTTTTGTTTAACTCCTCCTTTAAGGATCTTTTAGTGCGCTCTGCATCGGAAAGCAGGGAGAGTCTATTCTACAGTTAAAGACGCGAACAGTAAGACAGCAGCACAGATATTCTTGCGCCACCTTGTGAAGAAATCTGTGGTGACACAGTGAAGTGCACGCACAAACTTTAAAATACTATTTTCTAATTCAGTATTTTCCAAATGCATTCATACCACATCATTTATAATGAATTCTTAACATACTTTTAGACCTATTACTACCATCTTTGGTTATTCAGGAGTTCACACACTCCTCTTGATGGACTCAGGTCCTGTATCTCCTATAACACACACAACAGTCTTATCTATACCAACTCTTATCATTAGTTTTTTAACATTTATGTTTACTTGTCCAACGCAAGTTAATAAGATGATGAATGAATATGAAATGTGGACATTGTGCAAACAGGAGTTTTGTAAAGCCACAGTTGTGACTAAGCTGAGCTGACAGCCCAGCAGAGGTTGCTGTTTGCCAGTAAACTAAATGGAGGAAAGCCAGACACACACACACACACACACACACACACACACACACACACACACACACACACACACACACATACATATAAACAATGCAACAGATCTCTGCACTCGTTAGCACAAATGAGAGTAGAAATTGCAATAATTTTAAAGAGTCAGCATCACAGTCTCCTTGTACTGATGGATAGCGAGGTAAACATCAACAGTACGTGATGTGAAAAGTGAATTATTAAAAAACAAAACAAAACTCAAGAGCCTATCATCAGTAATAACCCAGCAATAAAAAAATATCACATCTCTACTTCAAGAACTGATTTAACGCACACCCTGTAGCCCAAGATGACCTCACACACTCTTTGGTGGAACAATCAGTATGGATTTTGTGACTGGCGGCTATGGCTGTGTGCACGCAAGGAACGACAAACACGTGTCACATTCACGTGTTATTTGCTGCCAGCCTCTGGTGGGGCTGGGGGAACAAATTTAGGCTCGGGGGGTTTATTTTGGGGGCCTGGTGTGTTATTGTGGTATCAACCCCCCACCCCACATCTCCCCTGCCCTGCTTAGACTCAACTGTGGCGGCACTAGGTCAAAAGTCAGTCCTAATATTAGTTTACTTGTTACAAACTGGGTCTAATGGGTAACTGGTTACTGATATTCTCTGTCAACCTGCCAAATCACAAAGTACTAAATATTCCAATATCCCTCATCTTAAAACACAAAAATTAAAGCATTTCACACAACTTAGAGCTTTGAAGCTGAAACTATTTCCCAAAAAAAGATTTTCTCTTATTTTGTAATTAAGAAAACTGAGTTATGTGACAACAGTCGTAATTCAAAAATAAGGAGCCCCAACAAATCCACTAAAAGTAATTCTGGGAGTAATATTAAATATAAAGACGTTTAGGAGGATTTAACTGGATTAATACTCCTAGTTCGCAGATCATGGTCATGGAGGTAAAGGTGTGGTTTTGCTGAGATGTGGCGTGCACAACTGAGTGAACTGCTGAACTGGCAGAAAAGAAGAAACCTTTGGCCCTCAGATTTCACCTCAGTTTACCAGCAGGGAGGGCAAAAACAGGCATGAGCAGTCGAGTTTGAATACACACAAACACAGCACAATAAGATCTACAGAAGGCGTGTGTGCAGTGAGAACTTGTGCAGAAAACTTGCTTATAACTTAAGAGACGTGCAGACGCACAGAAGCCAGTGAGGGATTATCATTAGAGTCAGCTCCTCATTGTGACGTCAGGAATAACTAACGTCACATCTGTCCAAAACATCTGTCTCCTGCTCAGAAACATCAGTGAGAAAAGTTTGTTATTCATGAAGCGGAGGGCACACAATCAGTCGACTATTTGAGCAACTTCATCGTGCAATAAAATGTGCGTGACTTGCAGCAGAAACAGGAAGTCTGTTGGCTGGAACTTACCACAAATGTAACTTGCTTCCTCTTGAAAGCTGCTGGTTTTAATGCAAGCAAATACAAAATAATTGCATTTTAAAAAACACCAAATCACAACTTTAAAAACAATGCATTGGCATTGTCAAAGAAGTTGGTACTATGAAATCTAAGTTCCAATTACCAAAATTGTATAATCATTTGAATATTTATCAGCTGCTACACGCCAGCTCTCTGCTGCTGTTTTTTTTTAAAAAAAAAGTGAGATCTCATGCCAGAGTGCCTACTTTATCTGCAACAGCCTTCTCTGGGATGTGTGTTTGTTTAAAAAATTATTATCTACAGTCTATTTTCCATGTTTCTTACTGTCGCAGTGACACTACAAGTGCAGATCTCTGAGCCAATCTCGCTGAGCAGCCTATCTGAACACTCCCTCTCATGAATACGAGTGCCAAGGAGATGCAGGATGCAGAGTTTAGGAACATACCCCAAGCACGAGTGTCTCCGACCGTGTCCAAAACCAGTCAGCCCTCCTTTCCTTGTCAATCGGAGGTCTTTGTTCATTGTCCCTCGAGCGCCTGACTCATATGAGACACTTTGGGCTGTAATGAAAATAAACTGCACATCTGATCTGAGCCTCTTACAACAGTTCTTCACAGTTTAGTTATTTTTCTCCCGTAAACCTCCGGGGGTATCTGGATCGGCTCCATGAAGTTTTGCGCACCGATAAACCAAAAAACATGAAGATTCCAGGTGAGAGGCAAAAAGAAAATGGAAAGGATCAGATAGAGAGCAGATCTGCCCAATCTTCTGTTCCTCGGGATGCGGGAAGAGAAATCGTGGAATGCTGCAGAGTTTCTGTGCCGAGGTTTCAGGCAAGCCCCAACAAGGCAGACAGGAGTGTGATATTCAATTAGTCTCCACAAGCAAGAAGCACACATGCAGCTGTTGTAACTGTAGACTCAACTGAATTGAAGGATTTTCCACAGTTGTCTGTCCATTCTCATTGATTTGTTGTTGTAAATACCCAAACTAATCCCAGACATGACACTGACAGCATTCCTGAAGGGGTTTTCAGTAGTACAACTCCAAAACAGAGAGAAAACAGGCGACCTGTAGAGAAGTCTGAAAATTTTGAAAGTAGTGTTTCTCTACTTCTCTGTCAGGCACTCACTCACTGTTCGCAGGAAAGGGGAAGGGTTGAGCCACTTCTGAGAGCAGTGACACTGCAGGGTAGCGTCAGTGAGGGTTTGACCTCTTCCTTTGGCAGTGCAAACACTGGAGGAATCCCCCGAGGTCGCTGTGGGAGCTGAGGACAGACCACCACGAGCTCCAATCTGTCTAGTACAGGATATCCAATGTCAAGATGTTCAAGTTACAAACTGGTCCCGTTTCGAGCCACACTTGCAGCTTTCCAAAGAAAAGCCTCAAAGAGAGAAAATGCTCCCACATTTAGAGAGTTACAGGGCTGCACAACATTTCGGTGTGTCCCAACTTGTTAAAGGGAGATCTGACTCGACTGTGTGGCTGGCGGGTGTTTTTGTGTCTGGCAGAGCTAGCTTGACGCAGCCTTCGTTGACACGTGAGATCAACATGCTGCCTGACCCAATACCCTCCTTCTGTTGCCCTGCAGCTACATAATTATAGAGGTTATTGTTAGAGTTGGTGCTGGGCAGGGTGGCAACGGGGGCTGGGTGGGCCTGACAAAACACATGTTAGGATTTACGGCAAAGAAACTTGGATAAACTAACCATAGGGAGAAAGCCCTGAGTTTCAACTTGTGCAGTTACCTTCTTAATGCGATGGCCCGGTCAAAGTCCAGAACGCAAGCTGACTGAAATGCTGTGGCAGGACCTTAAAGATACCTGAGGCAAAGGTATAAAAAAGAGCAGGCCACAGTTCCTCCACAATGATCTGAGAGACTGATGGAGTCACATAAAAAATTCAAGTTATTGATCAGGGGAATTTGTTGCACATCTTGCATGCAGACTGCAGGATCCTTTTCATCATGTGCAGTCATTGTGAAACAGGCTAAAATTTTGAGCATCAGTTGTTTGTTTTCTGACTAACTTATCAATGGCAGTGATAAGTGATATAAATTGCACGCCAGTGTAAATATATAAGATATATGGATGCATAAGTCACACGTTCCTGGCTTTATTTCCACACTGCTAACAGAAGAGGGGACTGGCCTTTGAGAGCTGTCAGGGCAAAACCCATGCAGATACTGACATGCCAATTCACTTTCAGACTGACGGACACTTGTTGCACGGCAACAACCAAAGACACCACAACCACTTCCCTAGGCACTACATGAACTGCAAACTAAAATAGGGTGTTGTGCTGATAGATCATTTATCTTGTTGTTAGCGCATGTATGTAAAGAGGCTCATAAGTTAAAACACATCAAATAAACCAAACAGGATGTAATGAAGACAAAGAAACAGTAAAAATGGTCTGGCTCATTTAAATCCTACCGAAAGGTACCTGACAGTGCATGGGCTTTATAATACTAATGAATATCTGTCCTTAATGCTATTTTTTTGCTGTTAAACATTTAAATAAGCAATAAAGGTCGTCTTCCTGATTGCCTGCTGGCTTATTTTTGTCATTACAACCACCCTGCTGTGACTCTTGTTATGCTTATTTCTTGTAACTACCCTTCCTTTAATCTGTCAAAAAAAAAATGATAAGGAAAAGGTTAGACAAATAATTAAACTCACCACTTCCTCCAAAGCATTTTAACTAGAAGGAATTGATTGAAATACTCTGAATTTTAAATGGCTTAAAGCTGCACTTTTGTCCTCATCCTTCTTTTGCAGTCTTGTTTGGGTTTTAGTTTCTGCTCGGTGTGGTTCATATTTTATTTATGCTGGCACTGAGACTCGCACACCTGACAGGGTGGGGTGGCGGGGAGGCTCACAGTATAAAACAATAGGATGTTTAAACATTACACGGGCAGGCATCAAATGACATCAGTAAAATGTCACGACTGATGACGTAGGTACACGCAACGTGTTTACAGGCCGCTTCCTCTACATAGTCACAGGCAGGCTGCCAGGGAGGCAAACAGTCAGGGGGTTTGGAGAGCGGGAAGGGCTGCCGCGGGGGGGCAAAAGCACCCAGGTTTCATGTTTATCTGATAAAGACAGTTTAACTTTCGACTAAATGGTTCGTGACTGCGTGTGGGAGCTTTCTCTTCAGTATGACATCAGTTTGCAGCCTCTATAATTAAACTGATTGGTGAAATGTGTATTTATTGAGAGCACGATTATAATTTTTAGTACCATGACAACTCAAAGGTTAGTTGCTTTATATAATCTGGCATCTTAACGCTAACGTGGGATCATTACGCAACATATTATCTTTGGCAAATTTATCTTTAACAATGGCATGTTTTACAAATTTAAATATTTGTGTGTGAATTGCAGCTTTTTTTGATGCTATGTTTTAAACTCAAGCATAAGACAGCATTTATCACCATTGAATGAATTAAGAAAGGTGTGTATGGAATCTGTGGTCATGTACAGGCAGCTCTGATGCCGTTTGTGTGCAAAATTGACAATAACAAGGGTGAAAATGAAAACCACAAGAAGAAACCACCAATATTGCTGCAAACAGCCTGCAGCCACATGAGGGTGGTGACAGCAGAGACAACCTTGTTAAGAAAGTCATATAAAATGACCTTCCCCTGTTAAAACTCCGCTCATTTTCCAACACTGTGACTGCTCTACAAAAGAGATAAAAACATCAGTTATTTACTACATATAACTGATTTTAATGCTAAAAAACACTTCTACGCTTGTAAACTTGCATCTCCGTGACCCGAAAATAGTTTTTTCCTGGAGTGTTTACATACATCAGAGAAAAATGAGGGCTTTAGACTCCAGGGTAATTTTCACAGCTTTCTCAGAGTTTCCTCAATTGACCTACTGGTCACGATTACGTCCGTGGAAAATCTAAATACGTCACTACCCGGCACTGCTGCTATTTTATTTCTTAAACTACCATAGTGAGGTTCTCTTTGGAAAAAAAAAATCAGCAAATGCCTTCATAGATCACTCTGTTATTTAAACAGCTTCATCCATCAAACTTTGAACATTTAGGCTCTGTCATAGCCTGAACAAGATTTACTCAGCTCCATCTTTTCTGACGTAAAAACAAAAAGCAGGACACAGGTTGCCTGTTTTCAGTCACAAGGACTGACAAAGTGACGATGCAGCATTAAGCGTCATCTTTGTGTTTACTGTGGTGAGCCACCCCGAATCCCTCCAGACTTTAGCTTTGTCTCTGCTACACAGAAACCCTGGTGGTATAGGAAACCTTTCTCATCTCTGGCTCCGCCAGGATTGCTGAACACCTTGGGCATGAAACAAAACCCTCTCTTTCATTGCCTTAACAATAAGGTCCTTTGAGATGACACCGGTCCCGACGTCAACAAAACTGTGATTTCCCACAGTTACCTTATTATCAGACAATGAGGCTTTTTTGCTACTGCCAACCCATGACACATACCGTGATGACGTGAAAAAGCAGCCTCTGCAATGTTACCTCAGAGCTGCTGAACAAACACTGGGCCTATAGTTTATTAGAGTTCAGCAGAGTTCAGAGAAGATGATCTCTGAATCCCAACCTTCTGATTATCTTATCAACGTACAGCTGAAAGTTGTACCTATAAAGAACTCCTTCACCCATTCACCCCACTATGTCTTAGTGCTTTCTACCTAACAGCCACACTTCGATGAACACATCAGGAGCAACCTGGGCTTCAGTATCAGATTGAAGCGGCGAGGGATCGATTAGTAGACAACCTACTCTACCTCCTGAGCCACCCCTTACACACAGCTTTCCACATAAGCTAACGACAGTAATTAGATCCATGTCATTGACTCTACCTGGGTGTGTACGCCAAGGTGAAGCGGCGTTGCAGGGCAATGTTACGGTTCATGAGGAGCTTGCGGAACAGCAACGGCGAGTGGCGGGGGGAGTTCCGAGGAGAGTCACCGGGGGACATCCTGGGAGATTCATAAGGCGAGCCGGATGGTGACTGCGGCTTCAGCTTGATGGGTTGAGGACTGCTGAGTGGGAAGGAGCCAGCCTCCCCTGAGCTTTCCAATAGGGCTTCACTCATGCTGTCGTGTAGGAGTTTAACAAAATGTTCCTCTTACGCTGCTCTCTGGTGCGACCTTCTAACCCCTGACAGGGAGTCCAAGTCATCCATCTCAGCACAGCAGCATTTATCAAGTGAATTAGGTAAACGGCTCTCAAGCGCGTCTTGTGATGATGCAGCTCAGATTCGGAGCCGCTCGTAGTTGGCTCTAAGTGCTTCACAGCCACTTTTGCGCTACGGCTTCATGGCTTTTCTCTACGGAGCCACCTAAAAGCCCTGTTGACGGACGTGGACACGAGTGCAGGAGTGTGCCCTCCCCTCGGCAGTAAGCTCTGTTTACATAGCACTGAGCTCTGCCTAAATATGGCCAGGCCTGAATTATAACGTTGTTAGCTCGTACCTCGGGTGAACTAGCTGCGTCCTGCACACACTTCACAGAGGAGTGAACCGTTTTACGTCGGCTTCCTTCCTCAACTCATCAGTACAGAAATATTAGACAGTGATTACAGCTCTGACTGTGTAGACACATGCCAGAGCTGTGCAGTGTCAAGAGGCCACAGTCTGGGTAGATTTTCACTATGATGGTTGCTGGGGTGGGGTAGTGGGGGTGGGTGGGGGTGGGGGCGACACTGTGTCTAAAAGCAGAGCCTGCTTGAGATAAAAGACAACGAGAATCCTGGAAATGTCACTTAAACTTTTACTGGTATCTTGACTGAGTAGCGTTTCCCACTGGGGCTGAGGGGTGATGGAAAAACAGAGATCAGCTCGAGTTTCATCTCTGACCCCCAGACAGCCAGTGACCCAACCCTCCGCTGCCCAAAACAAAACTGAACTGTACTGCTTGTGCCTAAACGTTCCCCTCGATAACGAGCATCCTGTAAATACATGCTGCATGTGCTTTAGTCGTGCTTAAGTTAATACTCGGCCCCAATCTATTAAACATCTAAATGACAGGTTCGCATTCAGGCAGTCAGGGATCGTTGCCATATTTATCACTGATCAGTACACGTCTTTCTAGAGTTACAGCCTACACATTAAAAAACAGATCAAGAAAAGGGAACTGCAAATCACATGAAGAATCTCAAACATTATTAGGAGCTTCACCCAGTAGTTAAACAGTTCAAATTAAGCAAAACTTTTGATTCTCTATTCAAATGTAAAGTGTTCAGTGCTGTGCTGGTTCTGCACTGCAATCATCACAGATTGCTTGTCAATCAAACAGTGGAACCACAAAGTCTTTATGCAACACTATTAGTTTCTGGGGTTTTGTGGAAAGGGTTTTTCTTTCTTTCTTTTCATCTGTTTCATTATAAAAACACGAGACCTGCACAGATGGAGTGACTATGACAGCAAACCTTTGAGCTATTTAAGCTACAGTGCCACGAGGGCTGGAGTTAAAGTATGTGAGTAATACTTAAACCTACAGTTACTGTTTTTGTGACTGCACCGTAATGCATCTAAATGGGATTAATACCTTCACAGAAAATCCAGCCACAATTATCCCCACTGCCATAATGTCTCTTTGCCTCTGCATCCATTTTAATGATGCATTAAAGTAAGGACGGAGAAGGGCTCTTGAGTTTGAGGGGCTGCCTGCCAAAGTACTGATTTAACTCAGGAAGGAGTGCAAGAGGTCACTGCAATGAGCTCATGAACAAAAACACTGCTGTTGTATGAAGTGCTGTTAAATGTGACCAGCAGATGGCGCCCACGCACAAACACAAGGACACAAATGCTCATGAATACACACACACGCACAAACTCAGCATTATGAAATGTCAGTTTATTCTGCAAGGTTTTGAGCTGTAGCTACTGAGCTCTGGATCATTTATTTGCCATTTTCTTTAAAGCAACATAATGCAAACCCCAATTCACTTTGATCCTTTTAGCCCTGGAAATGGCCCACATCATTTGCCAACACAGTCTACCGATACAGTTGTGACTAAGTGAAGGTTTGGCTGAAAGGTAATTTAAAAACCTGTAGACTGTGTGGGCCGACTCAGTCATACGGTTACCATCATGAGCCAATGGGGAGAAAAGACAAGGAGATGAATCCCGTGGCTTTTCTTTAAGTGACTAATGCCAGGATATGTGGAACTATTTATTAGACTGAGTCATATAACCATACTCCTCCCACCAGCAACACCAGATCAAACACATGCAAACACACGGCTGACAGCAGAAAACACACACACACACACACACACACACACACACACACACACACACACACACACACACACACTGACATAGACATGCATGCACACGGACACATGAATTCATTTTAAAAACACACAAACAAACTGGGTTTCAGCACCTGAAAAGCCTTGGAACAGACAGCACGCATGCTGCTTTATCAATTAAGCTCCAGTATACATAAGTGCATCACATACCCAGTCAAGGATCTTTAATCATAAAAACGATGGAAACAACCTAACTACATACCTAACTAGACAATTGCAGTTTATATTTAATCGAGAAAATACTCCCTCTATGAGCTCGCAGAAACTCCCAAGGCTACTTACTGTATGTTTTTAATAAAAAGAGACTACTTTCTCATTAATCTGTTTTCTCAGCAGATATGCATGTAAGCAAAATCCCATTTGTGGTGTGAAGACAGTGACAGATCCACGCTTTCACAGTTGGTGGAGATTTGGTTGTAAATACAAAGTCACAACAAGTCCAACGAGTATCTGTAAGAACCAAAACGGATTTGTTGGACACATAAAAAACAAACAAACAGTGATGCAGTGGTTAGTACCACTGCATCACAGCAAGAAGGTTCTGGGTTCAAAACCATCTTCTTCCTATGTGTTTACATGTTCTCTAGAGTCACCCATCAGTCTGTAACATACTTGTTAAGCTAACTGGTGATTTTAATTCAAAGCATGAATAGTGGTATTTTTGTCTGTATTACCCCTGTGATGGACTAGCAGCCTATTCAGGGTTTACCCCATCTTTCATACCCTTGAGAGCTGGGATACGAGACAGGATTGTGTTAAAAAAGCAAGACTGTGACAACATGTGTGCAGTGGGTTGCTGGATTAACCCTTTAAGACCTACCATAGAACCAAGTCCGCCAGAGCTTATCTTTATATCTTTACATGCTGTAGTGCCATTTTTGAGAGCATTTCAAGTTGTTATACATCAATACAACCGTTATAGCCCAAATATTAATAATATGTATGCATTAAGTCCATAATAACTACATAAATTGCAAAAAAGTGCAATAAACTCTTTTTTGTTTTGTTTTTTACATAAATTTCTAGTTAGAGAAATTTCAGAAGTTTATCCCTCAAAACTGTAAATACAAAAAAGTTGTACAAAATAGTTTCCAACAACAGGAAATGTATTTTGAGTGTCTTCATAGTTTTATTTTTGAGATACAACAATTTTTATGTCCTGCAGGAAAAACAAAAAGAAATATTATAATGCAATTTTGCAAAAAAACATAACAAAACAAGTGCATAAAAATGAACTATTTCCAGCAGTGCAATTTGAGTTCCAAGCATCCCAGAAACTATTTAGAAAAGCATGAAGTCAAACATGACTTTTAAAAACACCAGTATAGGCTTATAATGCCCCGAAGGTAAAAAAAAAAATTCCGCGAAATGACGTCACTTCCGGTTTTGGGCAGGTAATGGCGGACATGCGATAGTTCAACTATCGCATGTCCAACATAGGAAGTGTCCAACATAGGGAGTGTTATGAACAGCTGATCAGATCGGCAAAGCATGTTTCTGAAAAATTATGTTTTTGTTGCTGCAAGTGCTTTTTATGCAGTTTTTGCAAAGCCATATGTGGAAGGAAACCGTGACCTAGGACAAGCTGATGGCATAAGATGTAAGTACAACTCCTCCGGTTTCATATGCAAAAAAAATTATTGCGCTAGCTTACGTGGTTCCGGTTCTACAGGGATTTAAAAATAGTTATGCCGGCTTTAAGGGGTTAATGTGTTCAGCATAAAAGAAGAGCTGTACAGTGAGACCTAAAATTGTCTCGATGAGGCCAAGTTATGGCCAAGTCTCCATCACTCCACTTCCCTAAGTAATTGTGTGGCACCCTGAGTATTTTGAGCATTAAGAACAAGTCTCAGATGTGTTTGCATCATAACACAGAGCGAAAAGCTCATTTGCTCCCACCTGATGTGATGTTAGGGCGATATTTAGTTCCGCCAGTAGGTGACAGTGGCAGCTCAGCCAAACGGATAACAGGAAAAATAATCCTTCACAAAAGTAATGCTAGTAACGTTTGTGTGCTAGCTAAGTCATGTTAGCCTCCTGCATTAATCTCTGTAACCGTGTTGTTCCATCAGTAATGTAAAAGGAAACTGTTAGCTGGTTTCAGTTAAAGTCATAGGAAATAGACCAGCCAGTACATGTTATGTTGTCTATTGTTTACTGGTCATTTTCTCTGTGTGTTAAGGGCTGATTAATACAGGGCCATTACACGTAATGCTACAAAAGTAATGCAGGCCAGTTATTACAATGGAAGCCGCCAGTAACACTGAATTCCTTTGCTGTGTTTCAGCGCAATAAACCTTCATGTGCACCTGAATGAACCCTGTCGTCCTTCAGTGTGTAACAATTGCATTTTTTAGTTGGAAAGGTTAGTAACGACATTACTCATTATTGAAATGAAGAATTATTAAGTTAGATTAGCATAAAAGCACTGTCATAGTTCTTTTTAAAAATTTCCTTAATTTAATCCAATGGGAGGTGAAGGAAACATTTTACAAACACAGCTGAATCCCTGTTCACTCTGTAGGTTCACATGCTGACACGGTCTCTGTCTCTTAATACGACAATGTGCAAAAGTCTTGAGCCACCCCTCACTGCTCTATATTTTACAAGGAAACGGGTGCAGTGATTTATTGAAACATGCCAACATACATTGAAATAC